ATTWTTTWWWAWWAWWAATAAAATAAAGTAAAATTATTATAATGATTATTTTTAAAAGAGAAACACATTTTGAGATTTCAAATATCATAATAAAATAAAGCTATTAGATTTAACCTGGAATCAAAGGCCTTAATATCGGCACGAATACGCCGACATGAATATCCTGAGCCCTGAAAAAACAGCCCGAGGATCGACCTATGCTACTACCAAGCTCACCACTACCAAGTAAGGGATGACAAACCCGAATAACGTCCGATCTTGTTTCTGGATTGATTATTACCTCTAATTATATTAAATTTATTTTAAGAATATTATTATATTAAATTTAAGAATATCCAGAATCTTGAATTTTAAAAATATTTAGAATTTAAAAAATTGTGTAAAAAAGTTAATTCTTTATTGTATACTTCTACGCCAATAAAGTATACATTTACAGTTTAATGTTATTTGTTATGAAATTTTTTAACATGTATTTTTTTTTAATAATACTTGAATTAGTCTAAAATATTATTAAACTTTTGGAAAAATTATACTTTTAGTCTTAGATTTGAAGTCTATTTAGTTTATTCGATTTCAGAATCTAACAATTTAATTYCTAATATTTTTAAAATTGTTTTAAATAGTCACGTAGTATTTTTATGTGCAATATATGAGACATAATTTTTAATTTAACATGGAAAAGTTGGATTAAAAATTAAAATATTCTTCTCTTAACTCTTGTAGGCACTTAAATTTATCACATATTTTATTTTATTTATTTCACTTTTCACTATGTTTCATTGATTTTGCGTCGCAATAAATTTGTTCAACGGGGWAAAAACAAAAATATCAATTAACCACTTTCCCTATTTTTACGTTTTAAATATCAGTAAACAAAAAATACAATTTGAATAAATAAGATTCTTTTTTTTTATTTAAATAAAATATTTTTTAATTAATCTTTTTCCTTATTTTGAAAAGTTTAATTAATTTAGCCCGAACAATTTAAATAATCAATTAAAATCATTTTATGTTATTTCCTTTTCAACTTTGATTGTTTAATTGGTCAARTAAAATCATATTATTTTGTTTTCGACTGAAATTTGATTAATTAATTAAATTGAATTATTTTCCATTTTGATCATTTGATCTTTTCTATTAATTAAACCTAATTATTTCCTTTTGACTTTTGTGTTTCCATAAATTGTCCGACTTATTTTGAAGTCCAAAGAGAATTTTCATTCATACACACATAAAGAAGTTCAAAATTAAAATTTAAAATCAAAATTCAAACTCTTTTATCCCACTAGAAATCGGAAGAATCAAACCTATAAATAATATTTTACTTTTTTTTAATAAATAATATTTTAGACTAATTTTAAGTATTAGTAAAAAAATAAATGTTATAACATAATGAATAGTCATTATTCAGCAAAGCGGCTTTATTTTATTATGACATTTGAAGTTTCAAAATGCGTTTTTCTTGTAACTTAAAAAACAATCATTTTGATTTTTGGATTTTTACTTTATTTTACTTTTAAATTTAAAAATTAATGAGAAGGAATTCCGAATCTTAAGAGGATAAAGGAAATTCAAAATTAAATAAAAAATCCTTTTATCCCAAAAGGAATGGGAAGAAATCAGAATCTATAAATAAGGCCTCACCATTATTCCACTCTTCACTCGAAATTAACCCTACGAATTCACTTTACACCAAAATTCTCTCCCTTTYGCAGCAATGGCGACTTCATCTACAACATCATCTTTCTCTCTTCTTCTTCCTCTTCTTTTTCTTCTTCTCTCTTCTCCTTCCGCTGCCCATCCACTAAGGGCSTGTATGTTCGATGCAATATATCAACTCGGCGACTCAATCTCCGACACCGGAAATTTGATTCGAGAAAATCCTAACACTCCCTTCTCTCACCCTCTCTATGGTGAATCCTTATTCCATGGTGCCACTGGTCGCTGCTCCAATGGCCTACTCATGCTCGATTACTTTGGTAACCTATTTCTACTTTTTCTTCTTCTTTTTATTTCTCTAATTTCACTTTCTTTGCAACTTTTCTCATAAAAACTTACGTTAATGGTGATTATGCAGCTTTGGCCGCGGGGCTTCCATCGGTGAATCCTTATCTTAACAAGGATGGTTTGACGGATCATGGAGTGAATTTTGCAGTGGCTGGTTCTACAGCTTTGTCTTCCGAAGCTCTTCTTCGCAATAAAATCTTGTCTCCCGTTACCARTTCTTCTCTCGATCATCAACTTGATTGGATGTTCTCTCATTTTAACTCCATCTATCTTAATGAAAGAGGTAATTATTCACCAACCTTCTATTTTTAGGTATAATATTTTCAATTTTTTTCTCTCATTGTAATATTGACTTTTTTTTTTAATTTTTACATTTATATGTTACAGATTGCAACGAGAAGTTAGGGAGTGCTTTGTTTCTGGTGGGCGAGATTGGCGGGAACGACTACAATTATGCACTATTCCAAGGCAAAACTATATCAGAGGCGAAAGATATGGTACCAGATGTTGTTCAAACCATAAAGAATGCGGTTGAGGTAATTTATAGTTTGATACTTTTTACAAGTGGTGTGGATTGAGATTTTTCCTACTAATTAATATTCTAATCCCCCCTCTTTTTTTTACGATGATGTATGCAGAAAGTGATAAGTTATGGTGCTACTCGAGTCATTGTTCCCGGAAACTTTCCAATTGGRTGTTTACCCATCTATCTCACTGAATTCCAAACCAATGATACTACCGCTTATGATGAACTTCATTGTTTAAAGAGTTTGAATAGTTTGGCAAGTTATCACAATGATCAAATCAAGCAAGCCATTGACGTATTGAGAAAGGAGAATCCACATACTATTATTGTATATGGMGACTACTATAATGCATTTCTTTGGATTCTTCGCGATGCATCTTTGCTCGGTATGCTATTCTTACATTTTACCTAATAAATTCAGATCTTAAGACTTTGTTTGTTTGGYATTGTTCTTCTATATAAGTTATTAATGCTTTGTTTGCTGTCTATATTTATATGAGCAGGGTTTGATGGAGCTTCTTTGCAAAAGTCATGTTGCGGGATTGGGGGTGACTACAACTTTAACCTCGTGGAGATGTGCAGACTTCCTGGTGTACCAATTTGCCCAAACCCTGATGAACGTATAAGTTGGGATGGAATCCATTTGACGGAAAAGACTTACAAATTCATGGCTTATTGGCTCATCCCAAAATGTTCCCAAAATTGCAATGCATTGTTTAAATTTAGTTATTGTTATTTTTTTTTCTTTTTTACTTTTTCAGAATGTTGTGTTAAAACCAATTAAACTGTGGCCTAAAAAAACGGAGTTGGCAATGAATTAAAAATTTTATTTTTTCAACTTCAAAGAAATGTGAAAATCAATTAAACTGTGGCCTAAAGAAATAGAGTTGGCAATGACTCAAAATTATCGACTCGAGTAGACATTTATTTCAGATTTTCTCAAGTAAATTTCAGAGACTCCACATAGTTTGTTAATATATATTATTTATTACTTTAATTAAAAATTTCGCCTCCAAATTTTCWATTCACTTTATCTAAATTATCCTGAAGGTTAAATAAAAAAAAATCCATATACTTTGCTATTTGTTTTTAAAAATAGCCTCATTTTTCTTAAGTTTCAATTACTATCTCTAACTCGTTTCGATAATATAGTAAACATCCATAACATTATAAAGAAAAAATCGACATTGTAGAATCTAGTATATCGATCCTCTCTTTTAATCCTCAAAAGAGCGATTGTCAGCAATAATTCCAAGACTCTCTTTTTCATGTGTGAAAACCAAACTATTTTCTTCATTATGATCCAACTATCTTTCAATATATCTTCGCGTTAGTTGAACTACTTTTTAAAATTTTAGAGACTTAAAATGTCTTATTATGAAGAAGAGATTAAAAATGTTCATTTCAAAATTTCATGACTAAAAATCTCCATTGACTTAGTTCCTCAAATTTAGGGACGGAAATAAAACATAAATCTTTTATAATACAACAAATTGAGAATATAGGAATAATCTAGGGAACAAATGAGTGACAATTACCTCTGATTTATACTGTTGTTGGTAAATCAACTATAAATTAATCAAATTAATTTTGTTGATTGAATTTTTTTTTTAAAACGATTGTATTCTTTTTCATTTTTAGTTCCTATATTTGTTTAAAATTAAATATCTAAGCTTTGAAAGATTTATAACGTCATTATTATATGATTATTCAGTTAGTCATTTTTAATGTAGCATGAACATAAACAGATGATAGGTAATAGTACTCGAATTGTATTAATATATAATTAATAAGGTWACAAATTGTGTAAATATAAACCATTAAAAAATAACAAAATTACAAAATTTATACAATGCAATATTGGAGAGAGAAAAAAAATTGTCATGTAAGTCTTTTACGTCAAAGAGGCCGCTTCATCCCGACTAATATACTTATTATTTGGTCAAACTGGTATTTCAAGAAGTCTGCACAATTTCACGAGGTTAAAATTGTAGTTACCCCATATTAATAATCATGGGGTTCCATCTCAAAACCAATTGGCAACGAGAGGAGTAGTTCATGTCTCTTTAACATGCCTCCTCAAGATCATGGCTCTTTTGGCTCATCGATCTTGACCGGATCCCATTTTTTGGACCGGATGCTCGTTTGAGTTTTGGGCTCTGATACCATATTAATATTCATGGGGTTCCATCTCAAAACCAATTGACGATAAGAGGAGTCTATGTTTATTATAAACTCATATAAATTAAAGTCCCTTCTTTTATCAATGAATTCTACCACATGGTTTTTGCAAATAAGYTCTATCAAATCCGGTGTAAATATGGCAAGCAACAATACTAATAATTGAGAAATTTAATATTTTGTTAATCAAAGATAATACGAAGCAACAATCTTACAATTTAATATTATTTTTTAGGATAAAATATATTTTTTGTTCCGTTTGAATTAGATATCTATTTAGTCTTGAAGTTTCAAAAGGTGCACTTTTAGTTTCTAAAGTTTAGAAAATGACTTTAAATGGTCCTTGAGATAAATTGAACTAAGATGATATGACATAACTGACGTGGCAAATTTTAAATGAAGTGTCATTTTTTTATTTTAAATTATTATAACTTTTGTGGCTTTTTATTGGATTATGTGCATTTTCTCAGCTTTTCCTTATTTTTTTCTCTTTTAACTCTCTCTTTCTCAGTGTTCAAAATGTCGATGTCGATGAAAATATCAAGGTCTCTATTTTACGAACATGTCGATGTCGATGGATATTTCGAGAAAAATAATTGAAATCGTGGAAATTGATGAAAATTTTTTGAATTAGGAAATAAAACTTAGATTGTAGCTTAATTAGCCTATAATTGATTACCTTTAACCATTAAATGTAAGAAAATGACCATTTTACTTATGAAAATGTCGATCTCGATGGAAACATCGAAAAAAGACTTTTTTCTTTAATGAAGATTGATGGAAATTATTTGAATATGTAAAGTAAACTTTAATTGTAAACTTTTGACTACTTTTTTAGTGTTTTTCATAATAGGATTCATTTGGAAGTGAGATAATTACCGAGGTTTTCAAACACATTTCTAAATTCCAATTAACTCGTACCTGTTTACTTTTTACCTACTTCTCTTTTCAAATTTGAATTTACTCATTTTTCAAACACATTTTCAAATCAATCATCAATTCAAATTTCCAATCAAATTTACACAATTTTCAAACACCTCAACCTCGTGATTGTGTCATTTTTCCAAATTATCTATCAATGAGATCCATATGTTCTTCATATTCTACTCATTTGAGCAACTACCTTCAAAACTTTCCGTTTAGAATAATCGGGGAGAACTATTGTAATTTATATCAAACTTATCAGGATAGTGCACTAGATCCTCCGAGATCATCTTTTTGGTATTAATTAAGTTACCTATTCTACTTCATGTTTCACCACTATTTGTATATAATAATATTTTATTTTTTAAAAATTCTAACATTATTTCAATTTTTATATATGTCAATATTTCACATATATTGTTCATAAGTAAGGACTAGATTGGATTAGAAATTATCAATAAAGCAAATTCCAAATCTTATTAGTTATACTTTATACCGTATTAAAATTCGAATGTCTCATTGATGAAATAAAATAACCTTAAAGAATAAGAAGAAAAAAAAATACAAGTCGACATTTGAGTCGACATATGGACACTTTGTCGACATTTCGACATGTCGACGAGAGGGGGGGAAAATCAATTTTTCCCCCTATGTCGATGTCGACATGCTCGACATGTACCATGTCTCTCGATATTTTGAACCTGCTCTTTCTCCTTTCTTCCCCATCTCTTCTCCTTCTTCGGCAATAGCTTGCCGATGCTCCGCCGATCAACGCCGACCACCGGTGTCCGGCACCACTGCCGTTTCAGAATATACCGGCGACCGCTCCACGCCCACAACCACTGGCGACCACGACGACCTCTGGTCATTTCAGATCCGAAATAAATTTGGTTTTAGATCTGAAAAGAATGTTCGGTTTCAGATCTGAACAACGTTATGTAGGTGCGAAGAATGATGGTAAAAATAAGGGTAAATGAAGGCGTGGATTTTCAGCGCAGTGGCAAACTTATGCCGGAGATGAAGAAGAAGAGAGGAAGGAGAAGAAAAGAGAGAGAAAATTCGTTGGCGCKGAGTGGTCGCCGGTATATTCTAAAATGGTAGTGGCGTCGGACACCGCCGGAGAAGCAGAAGAGACAGAGGAAAGGAGAAAGAGAGAAAGAAGGAAGAGAGAGAAAGTGAAAAAGAGAAAAAAATAAGAAAAAGAAGGAAGAATGCCACATAATCCAATAAAAAGCCATAATAAGTTATAATACTTTAAAATTCATAAAAAAAATGACACTCCCTCTCAAATTTGCCAGGTGAACTATGCCACATCATCCTTCTATTAGTCAACTTACCGTTTAAGACCATTTAGAACCATTTTCTAAGCCTTAGGGACTAAAAGTGCACCTTTTGAAACTTCAGAACTAAATAAACATCTAGCTCAAATAACAAAAAATGTATTTTGTCCTATTTTTTAAATATAGAATAGCTTACAAAATATAAAAGTATGTCGGAGAATCTAAAGCAATACATTATAGTGGTGACAAAAATAAATAGTTAAGCTCATCATGTAAAACATGACTTAAAAATTTGTTTTATAAAGTGTCATTTTCATAATTTTCTTTTAGTACAACATTTGGGGGAGGGGATTCGAACTTGCAATCTCTGGTGAAATATATCAATTACCATTGAGCTATACTCGTTTTTGTCGTTTTCATAATAAATAAATTGATTGGAGACTTGTCTCACAAAAATTGGAATATTTCTTGTCTCATAATATATTGTTTGGCTTAAGATAAATAATTTTACTTTGTCATTCGTCTGTTCATACTCTTTAAAAATTTTCAATACTACCCTTAACTTTTTACAAAGGTTTTAAAAATACAGCCTTTTGAGAAAACATATGTATGAGTCAATTAACGTTTCAAATTTACTTTAAAAGTATTCTTTCTTCATTGTCAAGAGAATTTGCTTATATATTGTTGGTTAAAATATACTTTTTGTCCTTATACTTTTACTAAAGTAACTATTTAGTCATTGAACTTTAGTTTGTAACGGTTTAATCTCCGTACTTTCAAATTAGTAATAATTTAGTTTCCGAACTTTAATATGTAACAATTTAGTCCTTGTAATTTAAAGTTTGTAACAATTTAGTCTTTATCGTGATTTTTTTTTTGTTAAGATTCTTATATGATTGATAAATCAAACAAAATATGTTTATAAATTAGAAAGAGTAAATTGTTATAGGATAAAAATGGACGCTTAATTTTAGTAAGATTTTTCATGATAAGGACTAAATTGTTACAATTTTTAAACTACATCGACTAAATCGCTACAAACTAAAATTCAGGAACTAAATCATCGTTACTTCGTTGAAAATACAATGACTAAATCATTACAAACTAAAGTTTAGAGACTGAATCGTTTCTTTAGTAAAAGTACAAGGACTAATTGTATCTTTTAACCTATATTGTTTTATTCAATTTTACCCTAATATCCTCTTAAAAATAATAACTTCTTCTACATTTTCAGAAATAAGAAGTGTTTTTTAAACCAATATCAAAATTTAAGGGTATTTTTTGTAATTTAGCTTAAAAACTGTCTAGAGATGGAAAGAAAATGAGTATAATGTCTGAAATTTGGGCTTGATAAACGAGAATTAAAAATTGATTACATTGCCATTAATTATTAGGGGACAAAATTATGCATATTTAATTATATTTTATATTAACAAAAGTACATGAAACTTTTACTAATAATAAATCATATATATAAACAAAATGTGCATGTGGAGTCTTCTAAAATTTACTTAAGATTTCATTGACAGATAATCAGAAAAAACATTGTTAGAATTCATATAAACGAATTAAATTTACCCAACCCATCAATTTAAGCTTTTGGGTTGGAGTTGATAATTTTTAATTTAGTGCCAACTCTGTTTGTCAAGCCACAGTTCACGGAAAAAAAGGAAAGAAAAAGGTTAAAAAAAAGGGAGTAAACATGGGATTATATAATAAATGGAATACTTGAATTTCATTAATGAATCAATAAAGACCTAACTAAATCATAAACATTACGAAAAAGTAAAAATAAAAAAAAATCACTCAAACTAAATTTAAACAATGCAGTGCAATTTTGGAAAGATGTCATGGATGAGCCAATACGCCATCAATTTGTAAGCTTTTTGTGTCAAATGGATTCCATCCCAACTTATATGTTCGTGAGGATTTGGGCAAATTGGTACATCAGGAAGTCCGCAAATCTTTATGAGGTTAAAATTGTAGTTCCCTCCAATCCCACAGCATGATTTTTGCAAAGAAGCTTCATCAAATCCTGCTCATTTAAATATGGATAAGAAACAAAATATTAATAATTTATAGAAGAACAATATCAAATAAACAAAATCTTAAGATCTAAATTTTATTTTGTAAAATGTAGAATAGTATACCGAGCACAAAAGCATGGCGAAGAATCCAAAGCAATGCATTATAGTAGTCGCCATATACGATAATAGTATGTGGATTCTCCCTTTTCAGTACTTCAATAGCTTGCTTGATTTGATCATTGTGATAACTTGCCAAACCCTTCAAACCCTTCAAACAATGAAGTTCATCATAAGCGGTTGTATCATTGGTGCAATTTTTGACGTTGGCTTCTCCTTTTCTAAATCATAAAAAACTAAAGACATTTTAGTCAAAATAAGATCTGGAAAATTGGGGGATGAAATACCTTGTAGAGTGGCCGGTGGAGTATCCTCCAAAATTGCGCCAGGCGCAATTTGGCAATGTATTTCGACCATGGTTGAATCTGAGTGCTCCAATGACTTTGTGTCGTGCTCGGTCACCACTAACCTATTCTTGACCTTCTACATCCATATCAACAGTAGCGGAAAGAGGGGGAGGGATAGATAACTCTAACGATTCGGAAACGGGGTTGACTTGAGAGGAATTCAACCTATGGTATTTATTCATACTACCTAATTCAATTTGAATTTCTTCACTCATCCTCTTTGAGTTTTCCATAAATATTTGCCATTTTTTGTTTAACTCCATCTTGGCACAAATTTCCTCATTCTCTTTTATCCCTAGTTTCTTTTTTCTTATTCACAATCTCAACTCTCTCGTTAAGCCTAGCAATTCTCTCATCTAAATCAGAACCTTTATCACCCATGAATTGATTTTTTCTAAGGTAGGCCTTGCTAAATTCTTCTAATTTCTTCTCACTCTGGCCTCCTTCACTAACCCTAGCAACATGAGGTTCTAAAGTCACTTTTTCAGAATTTGCATTACCTATGGATAGGTTCTTTCTAGGGTTCATTCTTAAAGCATCATCTATTTTCTTTCATTGTTCCCTAGGATCAAAAATTAACCTTTCATGAGAAATCTTAGGGGGTTCAAGAGGAATCATACCTAGTGGAGTAGGTGGTGGAAGCATCGCCTTTTTCTTCCCCTACTCTTTGTCGGATGGTTTAGAGGAGGAAGAGTCTTCCATGGTTTTTGATTCTTGCTTCACGATCAACACAAAAACTCCACCTTCTAATCCTAAGTGTGTCAAAAAAGAGAGAGGTATGAGGGATTTAGGAGTTCTTGAAGATTTGATGAAAGAAAATTTGAAAACCAAGTTGGGATTTTGGAGGTGAAAAACGCAAATGAGGGAGAAGAAGACTTAGGGATTTTGTTTTCTGTTTTAAAACATATTAGGATTTAGTAATGGGGCTATTGGGTATAGTGTATGCGCTAGTTTATTGTATTTTCCTTTGCTTTATGATAATGTACACCCCACTCGAGTTTAGTTCAAGTTGGAGTTTGTTGGGTGTGTTGCCCTAAACTCGTAGTTTGTATTATGTAAAAATAAATGTATATTCAATAAAGTTTTATTCAATAAATTTGTTGTCGAAACATAGCATTGCATTGTCCAAATCCAATAAACTAAACTGCTAAGGTTATTTTAATGTAATCAGGACAGTATATCCTGGGTATATATTTGATATACCCCTGATATATGAATGAATAATATCCCGTGAATAACCTAAAGGGTCTATAGTATATGGATAAGGCTGGGTACCTTATC